GATTAGTGTCTGCCCTGAATTATCTAAGTGCATTCTATTTTCAAAGACATTCATTTTTCAGATTGTGGGTTGAAAACTAAAATACCTCAGGGGCTAGGCAGATATTGAACCATTTTTAAAATGAGGGCTGGATAGTAGAAATAACAAAACACAGGCTACAGAATATATGCCTTGCTTTAAAGAGGCAGCCACTACTCTTTTCTAGATTATTGCCATGCTTGCTGGAGTGTGTACCCAGGGATATAAGAACTTCAAAGACTTCAAGTGAAGCTGAAAGACTAGATATGAAATCACTTGATTTTTAAATATTAGTCTCTACCTTTTTTGAAACATTATATAGACAAAAAACTTTTTTACTCACAGTATACCAATTTTCACTCTGTTTTAGGTAGCACTTAAATTTTTTCACTGTGCTTTGTAGAAAGATTAAGTTCATCTTCCCTTACTCTGTTTCCTTAGGGGCTCACTATGGCTATACTCCAACATTTTTAATGAAAGAAAGATTTGGCTGGTCTTGTAAAACTTCAGATATTTCCTTTGGAGATGAACATTTCAAGGTTTATCACATCATACCCTAGCCTCAGTGGCTGTAGTTTTTCCACCTGGAATATGAGTATGGCTTGTTTTACAGAGCAATAACTTCTGACGAGCTATAAGTCAAATATAAAAAATGCTCTAAGTTCTGATTATGAAGAAGAAGCACTTGATGAATCCTCTGATAAACTAAAGAGGGTTCTCTTTACCAATCCCTATTATCCATCCACCACCTTATTGTGCTGGTCCTCTAGGAAGAGTATTTTCACCCAACAAATATTTTTGAGCACTTATTATGTTCTATGCACTAGGGATATAGCAGTAAATAAGGAGAACAAGTCCCTATTTTCATGGAGTTTACATCCTAGTGCTGGGGTGGGGGGAGACAAGCAAACAAGCAATGTGATATCAAAATGAAAACTCATGTCTAACATATCTAATTAACAGGGTCGGGCTTTCTCCAAGCAAGACACCTTACCTATGCATCTTCTACATGTACTACCTCATTCTCTGATGAACTATATGACAATAAGTACAACTAACATTTCAGTAGGGTGGTCATTCTAATTCTTTTTTCTTTTGGTGAACCAAGACTCTGAACTTATGTGAAAGAAATTCTGATAATTATTCCTTCTCTGTGCATACTCTCCTTCCAACAAAGTTAAGTATATCACTGAACACGAAACCTCTCTCTCTCTCTCTCTCTCTCTCTCTCTCTCTCTCTCTCTCTCTCCCCCCTTCATTCCCAGTGCTACTGCTCCAGCTTGAAACCCCAACCTCTCTAAGAAATTCCCAGATGAGATTTCCTAACCTGATTCCCAACTTATGAGCAAGCTCAAAACATTTCTAACCTTCCCTCTCTCCAGTCCCTTGGCTTCAGCTGCTATTTGTCCCAGTGTATAATGTCTGACCTTTGTATTCAAAGTTAAAAGATCATTGGATTCAAACTAAGAAGGTTAAAATGAACTACAATTGTACTTTAGTTGCCTAGGAAAAGTTACAATCCCATATATATTTGCTTTTCTGGCTGTAGCTATTCTTGTGAAGTGTATACAAAACAGAGCGCAAATAAAATGGCTTTCATTTTCTCAGTCAGGAAATATCTCTAGAAGTATAGACCCTTCTGAGATGTACAATGGCAGTTGAATACAGAAGACAAGAGAAAAGCCAGATGTCCTCTGGGTGATGGCAATTCTGCCCTCTGATTATAGGATACATGTTTCCCTTTTAATGTGACTGCCTGGGCTGAATGCAAGAATACTGGTTGAGTCTCAGGAACTAGGTCCACAGTTTTCAACATAAATAGCCATCATTAGGTAATATCTTTCAATGAGATTTTTATAAAATGGACCCCAAAACCACAAAGGTACTTTTCACATCACAGTTTTCTTCCATAAATTTACTGCTGAAAAAAAGTGTCTGCTACTTGGGAGCACAAATTGTTCCTGCTACTGAAGTTTTCCATCTACCCAGTAGCAACTTTACCCTGTAAATAATGTAGAAATTGCTGAAAAATTCCTATTCAGTGACTTCGAAAACAGTTGAAAGCTTTTCTGATGAAAGAGACACAAAGAGAGCCAAACACACACACACACACACACAC